CTCTAAATATGAAATTTATTATACGGAGTATGTATAATAAAATGACATTAAAATACTCGTACGAAGTTTGATTATTGGTTATTAAAATGACCGGCATTATATTGGTTATTAAAATTTTAGTACACCAAAGTACATATGGCATTTGGTAATATTCATAATTTTGACAGTTATGTACTGTCGGTACTGATACCTTACCATAATATTTCATATTAGTGCATGGATGTATTTTCCACACCTGAATTCCTGAAAAAACACCATTATTTCATTTTGATACGGAATACAATTTATACAAATAATTTATCTTCTCCTTTTTGTTTTTGCTTGTTTTTAAGAAAATAGCTTGGTTGGATAGGCTTGCTTATCAAAAAGTGATCTAAAGTTGGATACATTTTTCAAACTTCAAATGTTTAAGCATTATTATTGTTCTCACACTCATCCCTGAAAACTGCAGGTACACATAACACATCCAGTGAAGCCAACCCATGCTGCCATGCAGACAACTATAAAAAGAGAAAGATAATGTTTTTCCACTTAGAAAAAAGGGTGCCACTTTTAACTAATTAATACATCTGATTTTGATCTGAGCTAAGCCATGTGAGAGTCCCATAAAGCTGGCCCCATTTTCTAATCACACCAGCATACCTTAACTGGCAAGAAGAAAGTGGAAACCCATCAGCCAACCCCCTATAAATAAATCCCAACAACACTTTTTCCAACTCCCAGATCCATTCCAACATCCAACAAACACTCCACTCTCAAAACTCAAAAGAGCTCAGCTCAAACTTCCATTCCAAACAAAAACTAAGAACAGATAGTATATATGGCTATCAGAATGCTCACAGCTATTATGAATGCCAAACAATTTCGCACTCTTTACCCACTTAGATCAAGGAACCACTCAGATGTTCCAAAGGGTCATTTTGCAATCTATGTTGGAGAGACTGAGAAGAAGAGATATGTGGTGCCCATAACATACCTGAACCACCCTTCATTTCAGAGCTTGCTTAAGAGGGCAGAAGAAGAGTTTGGGTTTGACCATCCCATGGGAGGTCTCACAATTCCCTGCAAGGAAGATACTTTCATCCATCTCACATCTCAGCTCAGCAACAAAAGCAACACTTCATTACATTGAAGGCTCATCAGATATTCAGATCTCATCACATTTTTTCACCTATTTCTGATTTAGTCATCCTTGTATGATTTTTCCTCTTGGTAAAACAAGAGTTGTACATTGCAGATACCCAACATAGAGAAGTAATGAAATCTTCAACTTTTATGTATGTATGTAGTATTTTGACCTATCTCATGATCATATATGGGATATAGTCTCATATAGATGGGATCTCTCAAGTAAGAGCAGGATCTGCATATGTTTCTGAAATTCTATCTGAGTTGAATTAGTTGAATCTATAGAATAAGGGAAAACATATTTATAATCTATCTTGTTTTGATTATTACACTACTTAACATGAAAAATCAAAAGTTTATTGTTAGAATTACAAAAAAAAATTGAAATTACTCCGTATATTTTAGTGCAAAAAAGAAAAATTGTATGAGAAGAAAATAAAACAGTTATCTTTTGAAAATTCAATCAATATAGCTAGAATATTAATTTACCCTTATCTTAACTATTACACATCAGGTTAAATCTGAGTGGATAAAGTGTCTAAATTGATTTTAAAGGTTCTCCCTTCAAATGTGGATAAAACAGAGTCATGTGCAGAAGAAAGGTACTACTTCCGCAGTTGAGTAGTTCCGCCAAAATAAATCCTACTTTGAATCCGCACTCCTATTAATAAAATAAAAACGTACAATTGTGACTTGTGATCGAGTAAAAAAAGGTTAAAACTAATAACCACACAAATTATTATTATTATTCCCTAAAAGGAACAAGATTTATTTTTGGGACTTAAAAAAAATAACTGAGAAGATTAATATGGGACGGTGTGAATACCTAGTTTTGTTTTAAAATACAATTCATTCGGTCTTTAAAAGGAAATAAAAGTAGTTAAACAATCCTTTACCAAGATTAGTCCTGTTTAAGGATTCTTTTCCAAATTTTTTTAGTTCTATCATCCCACACTTGTTCTCAAAGGATAAATGAGTATATGTGATATGTCCAAGTTCTGGTATGTAATCTTACGAATAACAATTCACACATTCAATTATTGAATTGGGTAAACTACTAGAAGAAAAGTAGAAATTACCTTCTCACAAACTTGAAGCTCACCGCTTCTCAAGTTCTCCGCTTTGATACACAGGCGGCAGATCTTCAATCCGATCAAATTCTTCAACAAATGCGCAGGCGGCAGATCTTCAATTTTACTGGCTTCCAGTGGTCAAGTCCCAGTGTCCCAGCCTCTTCCATAGTTCCAAGCATCGAGGCTTCAAGCGACAGAAACAAGTGCACCGGCGGCGGAATCTCAGTTTCAAATCTCAATTAATGTAAATAAATTGAGGGAGTGTTTGCAATTGTTTCAACTTTAAAGAAGTCATTGTTTAAAGTGATTTTGGGAAAAGTGATTAATAGTAAAAGTTGGTAGTGTTTGAAGAAAAAGTGATCATGAAAAAGTAAAAGTTGATAGTGTTTGGTAAAAGAAGTACTTTTTGTGTAATAGAAAAAGTGAAAAGCAGTTTAAAGCACCCTTCCACCTGCTTCCAGCTTTTAGCTTTTAAGTGATTAATTTAAGCAGAAGCTGTCATTTGAAAACACTCTTTTTAACCTTTTTTAAGCCAAAAGCTGAAAAACACTTTTTTTAATCAAATGCAAACACTCCCTGAATCTCTTAAATTTATTCAAATTGCCCTTCAAAAAAAAATATTCAAATTACTTTAACTGGGTGTCGTTTAGTGTAAATATGATGTCGTTTTACAGTAATGCTTTCTCCTTTTTTTAACTTGGGAAAATGGAAACTAATAATGCAACTTTTTAGCAGTCTTCTTATAATAGTTTCATATTTTCGTTATTCAAGAATAATCCAACCTCTCACCCCATCTTCATTCGCTGGTACCTGAGCGGTTAATGACTTACTATTTCAAGTTATTTTCTTTTTCTTTTTTTGCAAAATATTAACTTTATGAAATGTGAGATTTATGGTATAACGATTTGCAAAGATAAGAAAATAACTTGGAATAACAGGTCATCAACCGGTCAGGGATCAGTGAATGAAGATGAGGGACAAATGTTGTATTATTCATGAATAACGAAAAAGTGAAACCATTGCAGAAGACCGCTACAATGTTGGATTATTAGTTTCCATTTTCCCTTTTAACTTGCAGAAACGATTCTTTAAAAAAACTTACAGAAACGATGTTGTTCAATTTGGTAAAAATAATTAAAATAACTCAAACTTTGAGTGTGAGATAAACACTCTAAACTTTCATTTATAATTTAAATACTTAAAGCCTTATATAAACATTTATTTTAGCACCATGGTCACATATTATTTGTTTCAAAAATGTAAATTTATAGTGTTAATTGCATAATTTAAAATAGCAAATTAAAATTATGCAATTATATAGAGTGAGGACAGTATTTATTTTATAATGGAAGTTTAGAATGTTGATTGTAACTTCATGAATGCTAAAATATTTTAAATTATGATATTAACACCAACATTAACATGTTTTTAAAGAAATAATATATGACCATGGTGCTAAAATAACTTTTTATATAAAGTTCGGGGTACTTAAATTACATATACAAGTTTGAAGTGCTTACCTCACACCCAATCAAAGTTTGAGGTATTTTAATTATTTTTCCCTTATTAATACCTTTTAGTTTAAATTGTATCAACAATCGCAGTCTATGGTGCACCGATACTTCACCCTGATGTTGTATCCGTGTATCTGATACGTATCTGGTACTGACACTCGCCGATACGCGTCTTGTACGTATTGGGTTTGTATCTGTAATTTAATAAAAGTATCAGGCTTATTTTTAAAAATATTGATACTTTCAATACTCGTATCTGTGAACCGATACTTTCAATACTCGTATCCGTGAACCGTATCGGGCTGGGTTGGGTATTTTGGGTCATTTGGGGTGGTTTGGGGGGTTGGGGGTGGGGGATTAATTAGGAAAGGAAAAAAATTGACCCGAGGCCCGGACCGGCCCGGACCGAACCCGGTGGCTACCCGGGCCGGTCCCAGGCCCACCTATTCAGAACCGGCGGCCCGTCCAGGCCTAGGCCCGGCCCCGACCCGACCCAACCCGAGTCCAGGACTAATATCATCTAATTCCAAACCAATACATTTAGAAAGAGAAAACCTAAACCAATAAAATCTAAATTCCACCATACCCATTCAATTTTTGCCATAAAATATACGGAGTATCTACCAACGTCGACAATGGAAGAGGGTGTGACAAGAACAAAAACTAAGGAAAATTGTCTTGAATATGAGTAAATAGATTTTGATTAAAATTGTTATGTTTTTCTTCCTGAAATAAGAGTTATTACCGTCATAATTGAAAATTTCGGGCATAAATGTCAATAAATACTGCAATATTTATATCTAGTACTGCAACTATTTTGACGATGATAAATCCGAAATGACCGTAAAATACTGTAATTTTACTCATACTTTGAAAAAACAACATAACACTTCTATTTTGAAATTTCAATATCTACCCACTCCTATTTCAAAAACTCTCCCAAAAGTTAAATATGTTTTTCACAAAGTGGGTGCAGTTAAAGAAAAAAGAAATCCAAATAGTCAATATGTTTTTTGCAAGCCTCTGACTTAGGATTAGGTGAGGGAGCCACATAGGTTGTTCAAACTTCAAAGAGGCAAAGTTGAGGCAAAGTAAGGCAATGGTGTTAGGTCTCAAGTTTAAACCTTGACATAGGCTTGGGCCCGACCAGGCCTAGGCCCGACCCAGGCCCGGAACAGGTTGAGTCCATCACTACTGACAACACCAGTGTAAGAGTTTCATCCTGATTACTCCTTGTGCGCACCAAGCCGTGAACAATTTGTAATAACCTTTTTGCATTATTTTGACAAAAAACAGGAGAATACTGACTAAAATGACAAATTAAGTATTTTGACAGTGCAATTCATTTTTACAGTTTTCCATTTATATTTTTAGCAAGAGAATACATTACATTCAACAATCATGACCAGTCTACCACACTATACACTTGTTACATTCCATACTCTGATACTCATATTAAAAGTAAATCATACAACATAGAATCCATTTAGATTCGAGTGATTTCCCAGTTAAATCGCCTTAGAGTACAGCGAGACACTGTCCAGACTTCAATCAGCAATTGTGAGATTCATGGCAGGCAATTTCAGCTGGGAATTTATATTCCGTTGAGACATTATTTTCCTCTTCAACTTTCTACTGTACAGATAGATCGCCAGTACGAATTTTACGTTGTTGATGGGTTATTCCTTTTCCCAGACGAGTCTCAGAGAAGCTCAGACTTGTTGGTTCCCCACTGAAAGGGAATTCAACCTTGGGCTGCAACCACTTTCTCAAAGAAATGCCCTTAATTTGAATTTTACCAAGTGATCCACTCCCTAGGTAAGGTAGCCCAAGCCTCCTCAATAGTGCAGCGACTTCTTGGCTTATCCTGGAAATAGATTTCACAACATTCTCAAGTTTCTGATGACATATTCTAATTACGGTTACTACTATTGCTACAAAGGGTGCAACAAAGCGATCCTAACTCAAAATAATTTTAGTAGCTTAAGCAAGCTTAAAAGTTTAAAAAATGGCTCGTGGCTGGTTAGAAATTAACTTTTCAAAACATTTTGAGACTGCAATAAAAAATATTTCTGAAAGATTTTTTAGACGAAATGAAAAGTAAGTTACGCCCTAATATTTTTCTAATAAGAGTTGTTACGTATAGACATAGAACTATTTTTTAATTATTTTGTAATATTGTTTTCATAATGTAATGAATTATTTGTGAAATGTGTATGATCGAAATTCTTGGATACACACGATTGTGGGGATGCCATAGTGCAGTCGGTTACTATTATACATGTACGGAGTATATTATATATACACATTAATTTATACTCACTCTGTTCCGAAATGAAGTTCCTAGTTTGATTTCACAGGATTTCAGGTAGAATAGGAAATAAAGTTGGCTTTTCAAAAAAAAACCCTAGGATAATTAAGAGGTGTAGTACCCAAATGGGTATAATAGAGGGGTAGTGAAGAGTGAAATGGGGGTAACACATCAATTCAATGAAGTGATGTAAGGGTAAAAGAGTTAATGAAAAACAAAATCTTACCAAGTTTAGAGAGAAGTTGAAGTGGGAACTTTCTTTTGGGACATCCCAAAAAGGAAAGGTGACTTCATTTCGGGATGGAGAGATTATATATTAAGTTATGAATATTACTCCCTTCGTCCCGAGTTGTAAAACACTTTATGGTTTACGATGTTTGACAGACGATAAAACAAACAGATCATTGTCCGCACTCAAATTAATTTTAGAAAAAAAAGGATACATATTCAAAAATTATATTAAAAGCTTTACAAAGTCGCAAAAATCAAAATCAAATTTAATAAAAATTTGAAATATAAAGTAAGGGGAAACTTATTTAGAGTACCTTAAACTTTGAAGGTGTGTGGAATAAACACCCCAAACTTTCATATGTAATTTAAATACTTCAAGTTTTATATAAAAAATTATTTTAGCACTATGATCATATATTATTTCTTTCAAAAATGTAAATTTATAATGTTCATTGCATAATTTAAAATAGCAAATTAAAAATGTTGCAATTATATAGAGCAAGTGTAATATTATTGAAAAATGCTAAAGGTACCCCAATTGGTACCCCAATTTGTACCCCCACCCTATTTTTGTGACTCACAAAAGCACCTCATTAAAGTGGGGCAATTCATTTATTGATGTGGGCTTTTGTGAGCCACAAAAATGGGTTGAGGTACAAATTGGGGGTACCAATTGGGGGTACCTATAGCAAGGTTGAATATTATTTACTTTACAATGGAAGTTTAAAATGGTAAGGGTTGGTATCTCCATGAATGCTAAAATATTTTAAATTATAAAATTAACACCAAAAATTAACATTTTGAAAGAAAAATAATACTCGTATATAACAATGGTGCTAAAATATCTTTTTATGTAAAGTTTGGGGTATTTAAATTACATACGTAGTATGTAAGTTTGACCTCACATCCCTTCAAAGTTTGGGATGTTTTAATTATTGTTCACATAAAGTAAGAGAGATTAAGAGTAATTTGTGTTGATCAAGTGAATATGAAAAGTATCTTACAAAATGGGACTGAGGGAGTATATACTACCTACGTCCCATTTTATGTGTCTCACTTTGACTTGACACAGTTATTAATAAAGTGATTGAGAAAGTAAAAGTTGTGGTTGAGGTTTGCGTATAATAAAGTGAAATGGTGCAGGGCAAAAAAAAGAAAGGAGACACTTATTTTGGGACTATCCGAAAAGGAAAGTAGGACATGTAAAATGGAACGGTGGGAGTATAAATCATGGCCCATGAGCATGTTTAGGGAGCTGAGTACAATAAGCAGCTGAGTACAATAAGCAACCACTTGGATTGATTTCTTAAACAAGCCAGCTCCAACTTGTTCCGAGTTTGAATTTGGCTAACAGGAGTTGAGCTTTGACAAGTGGCCCACAATGGCTTGATTCATTTTCATGGCTAGTTTATGTGTTTTAAAATGTTTTTAAGGATTGATTTCAATCCCAACAGACCAGACTTGGGATGTTTTCTTTTAGAGCGTTTTCAGTCCCAGACCAGACCAGACTTTCATAGTTATAAAATACACATAGATCAGACATTTATCAGACCAGACCAGACCACTTCAGACCAGACCAGACCACATCAATTCAGACCAGACCAGACCACTTCAGACCAGACCAACAAAATTTCAATCCAAAAGAAAACACCCTTAAACAGACCAAAAAATTCAGTCCAATTAAAAACTTTGTAATACTCCGCCAATTACTCCTTTGCAATTTCAAATCAATGGTCTATGTGTTTTAGGATGTCTTTACTTGAACTAAGTTAAATCCCAAAACCAAATTTAAACAAATCAGACCAGGTCAGACCAAACTAGACTTAAACATATTAGACTTTGATAGTTACAAAATACACAAAGAGTTTAATAAACATATTAAACACCTGTCCCCTAATCACATTCAATATTCATTTATTCTTCATGCCCAATTTGCCCATAATGAGCATATGAATGTGCCAATTCATTATTAGGCATGCAAAATATAGATCTGAACGGCAAAATATCCAAACCTTCCCGCAATTTTAATCGTTCTCTCTTCAGTGGGTGTCTGAAACTGTGACTGCTCCACAGGTAACAAAATTGTGATGTTTGGGATCCTAACACCTGAATTTCCAGAGCAAGAAAAGATAAATTTAAAAATTATATGGTGAAACTCTATTATAACAACCATCACAAACTTATATAATAAACAAAATATTTATTAAAAAAATTAAATGCAGTAACAAAAAAGAATGATATGTTTGTAATTAGGAAGAAATCAAGAGTGAGAATGAGCATATGGACAGAACAAGGCAGTTATATACTATGCAACGATATGAATAATAGGTTGTTCACATAAAAAAAAACTACTTTTGTTTTGCATTGCTGTCATATTGGCGCCATCACCACCCCAACTATGAAATCTCTAATCACCATTACAGATCATGTTTCAGATTAACAGTAATGGTGAAAGCTTATACAATAGATGCGGAAATAATTGCAGAAGAATAGAGATGGAAGAAGCTTGGAGAAGAAGACATAGAAATGAGGAAATTGAATTGTATAATTGATGGGTGAATACAACTGATCGGTCAGATGAATATTTATACATACAAGTGAGAAGTTTCTAGTAGTTGTTAGTAAGCTAACCATAGTTGTTACGGCGGGGTTTTGCGGCGCGGCGCCTTTGGACTGCCATACCGCCATGGCGATATGGCGCCTGTCGTGGCGGAGTCGCGGCGATAAGTCGACATATACACTAATAAATTCATAATATGTTTTGCATACTAAAAAACATGTAATCATAGAAATAACATAATTCATAAGACCATAACCATAAGCCTATAGTTCATCTAAACAATCACAAACATTATGTCATTATCCATAAAATTGTTTTCATAAAATTGAAACTTTTCTTAAAATAGTAAATAGTACAATACTAAGTTTTCAAAAACTTTTGGACTTCCTGTAAAACATTATACAGTCCATCACAACATTAAATACAACATTAAATTCAGAGCATTCAACAAAATATTAAATACAATTTTTTTTTGAGAAATATTAAATACGGAGTACAAAGTTGATATACAAAGTTGGATGTTTTTACACCCAAGCACCCAACTGGAGTATTTACTAAAAAATACGAATAACATACCCACACTAAAGTTAAAAGTCGAAGTCCAGAAAAACTGCGGACCATTTTTCTTGAGTGCGCGACTACAAGCGATTGAGCTATTAAAGCGACTTAGCCAGCGACTCTACCTGGTGGAAGATTCAGCGTGCGGACCATTGAAGACGGAAGGGAAGCTGGACCGCAGACGGGACTATGCGTTTGGAAAGTCGTCGAGTGGCATAGGTCTGGTTTTATTTTATTTGATGGGTTCAAAAAATTCGGGTTTGGGTTTGGGTCTGTTCAAATAAGTACGCCCTGGGTTGTCGTCTAGGCGTCTATGGCGTTTTTCCGACGCCAGAGAGACGTTACTTCGACGCCAAACGGTTTATGGCGTGTCGACAACATATGGCGACCCTCTCTTAGTGTCAGGACGATATTGCGACGATAAGGCGACGCCATGGCGACGCCATGACAACTATGAAGCTAACTAATCAACTAAAATCTAACAAACTGTGATACGTCATATATGTTAGTTAGATATTCTTCATTCCCCCCTCAAGCTGGAATGGAGGGGAAACACTTCAGACCAAGCTTGAATGATAAAGTCATATGTTGTTCAGCACCCAGTGGTTTTGTCATAATATCAGCAAGTTGCAAACTTGATCTCACATGTTGGGTTGATAGAAAGCCTTCTTGTTGTTTTTCTCTAACATAATGACAATCCACATTCAAATGCTTAGTTCTTCCATGAAAGACTGGGTTTTGAGCAATATGTTCTGCAGCCTTGTTATCACATAATAATGTGATTGGAAGTGGCACTTGTATGCTTAGTTCTTTCATGAAAGACTGGGTTTTGAGCAATATGCTCTGATACCATATGAAATCTCTAATCACCATTACAGATCATGTTTTAGACCAACCCCAACCATGTTGGTACCCGTTTGGCCCTAATCTCTAATCACAATTACCATATGATACCCGTTTGGCCCTATGCTCAAAATTAAGCAAACTAATTCAGTCATGGAGTACAGGGATCATTTCGAAAGGGTTGTAGCTCCCCTCAAAATTGCTGACCCAGAGATGCTAAAAGGAGTATTTTTTAATGGCCTCAAAGAAGAAATTAGCTCAGAGCTGAAGTTGCACCGGCCCACTGGGTTAACTGATCTTATGGACACAGCCCAGCTAGTTGAACAGAAGAATAAGGTATGGACAGGAGAAACAAATAAAGAAGAAGACAACAAAGGCTTGAAGGAACATGGAGGAAAACTTGTCAGAGCCTGGAATTGGGTGGAAGCGACAAAGGGAAGAACAACTGCTCCGGAGAGAACATTCTCGGAGAACAAACTGGAGGAATCGCCAAAACCAAATAAGACATGGGAGAATGGCCAAAGGTTGACACAAGCGGACTTAGAAGAAAGAAGCAAGAAGGGCCTATGTTTCAAATGTGGAAACAAATGGGGCAAAGAGCATGTATGTGGAATGAAAAATTATCAACTTATCTGGATGGAAGAGCCAGAAGAAGAGAAGGGAACAGAAGATCAGTTATATGAAAAGGATGAAGCTGAAAACCTGCTGAAACCCAATGGAAAATCAGTCTCTTATCATCCACCTTGAGGACAAGGTGGAAGTTCAGGGGGGAGTGATGATAGGGACCCGAGTACTACAAATAATTAGAGTCTTATTAAGTATTTTAATGTTTTCCAATAATAGGGGTCCAGGCCCAATAGCTTAAGTGAGAGCTGGCCCTTTTAGTGAGTTTTATTATAAAAGAGGGGTAGGGGAAAGAATAACGGAGGTTGAAACTTGGGAATTGGGATCGGAACTGGGAGTGAGAGACCACTCGAAGAGTCTCAAACCTTTTCTTTCATAATTTTTTGTATTCCAACCTTTAATCTTCATTAATACACTGCTTTTATCTACTGGGATTCCTCCCCTACCTATCATATTTGAACTTGCACAATATTATCAAGAGGGAAATGAGGAGACTAGCTGTTATAGTCGTGACACGCTGTAAATCCAATATTGTAAAATCAACATGCACATCATGGAAGTGTGTAACTTGACGACGGTGTTTATGTTTCTTTCTTATGTCTTAACTTTTGTAAAAATGTCTGCTCCACTAGGCACTAATGTTAATATTTGATTTCAATAATACAGTGCACAGATAACACCTTAGTTTTTAAATAATATCACTACATTTCTGAACTCTGACATGATATTCCTTGGCCAGAACTAAAAATATTTTCTGATCTCTCAGTCTGTTGAAATATAAACTAGAATAATATTGAAGAGTGGAGGAAAGATTTTCTGTGTATTTCATTGGAGGGATAAGTCCCTATATATATACATTACAAAGATAGAATATTCCTATAAGATGCTATACAATAATAATATCTTAGAGTATATTCCTAAAATATTCTAAAGCATATTCTAAAGATAGAAGAATATTCTAAAGCATATTATACAGCATATTCCAATGTCTTTCACACTCCCCCTCAAGTTGGAGCATAGATATTTATCATGCCCAACTTGTTACATAAATAACCAACACGAATTCCATTTAGTGCTTTAGTGAACAAGTCTCCAAGTTGCTCTCCCGTCTTCACATATCCTGTAGAGATCAATCCTTGTTGTATCTTTTCTCGAACAAAGTGACAATCGACCTCAATATGTTTTGTTCTCTCATGAAACACTGGGTTGTTGGCAATGTGTATAGCAGCCTGGTTATCACACCAGAGTTTAGCAGGCATTGGTGTCTTCAGTCCGATTTCACTCAATAGATGGTTTATCCAGATTATCTCACATGCCGATTGTGCCATAGCCCGATATTCTGATTCAGCACTCGAACGAGAAACCACATTCTGCTTCTTACTTTTCCAAGAGACGAGATTACCACCAACAAAGACGCAATAGCCAGATGTGGATCTTCTATCATCTTTAGATCCAGCCCAATCAGCATCTGCAAAGCATTCTATGCGCATGTGATTATGATTTTGATAAACAATACCTCGTCCTGGTGTCCCCTTCAAGTAACATAATATATGCTCTACAGCATTCCAATGATCAACTGTCGGAGATGACATATATTGACTTACTACACTCACTGAGTATGCAATATCTGGACGGGTAACTGCGAGATAATTAAGCTTTCCAACCAACCTTCTATATCTTTCTGGATCTTCGAATGGTACGCCTTCATGAGTGAGCTGCACATTGGGAATCATGGGAGTATTGCTCGGTTTTGCCCCCAGTTTCCCTGTTTCAGTTAGCAAGTCAAGCACATATTTACGTTGAGATAGAAAGATGCCTTTCTTGCTCCGTATAACCTCAATCCCCAAGAAGTATTTCAATGAGCCCAAATCTTTCGTCTGGAATTGACTATGAAGAAAATTCTTAAGAGCCAAAATACCTGCATTATCACTCCCTGTAATCACAATATCATCGACATACACCACAAGCAATGTGATACCTGCTTTTGTTCGTCTGTAAAATACAGAGTGATCTGATTTGCCCTTTATCATTCCAAATTGTTCAATTGATTGACTGAATTTTCCAAACCATGCACGAGGACTCTGTTTCAGACCATAAAGAGATTTCCGAAGTCGACAAACTTTACCATACTCCCCCTGAGCAATAAATCCCGGAGGTTGCTCAATATAGACTTCTTCCTTAAGGTCACCATGCAAAAATGCATTTTTAATGTCCAACTGATGTAAGTGCCAATCATGAGTTGCAGCGAGTGAAATAAGTAACCTGACAGATGTTAATTTAGCAACAGGAGAAAAAGTGTCAGAATAATCAACACCATAGGTTTGAGCATAACCCTTTGCAACTAATCGGGCTTTCAACCGAGCAACAGATCCGTCTGGGTTAACCTTAACAGCAAAGACCCACTTACATCCAATAGATTTCTTCCCTGTAGGCAAGTCAACCAAATCCCAAGTACCATTAAGATCTAAAGCATTCATTTCCTCTACCATGGCATGACGCCATTCAGGATGAGACAAAGCTTCTTTGACAGATTTGGGAACAGAAATAGAATCAATGGAAGCAATAAAAGAACATGAAGCAGGAGATAACTGATTGTACGACACAAATGAAGAAATAGGATGAGTACAAGACCGTGTACCTTTACGTAGTGCTATTGGGAGGTCAAGATCTGATGTGGAGACAAGATCTGAAGATGCAGGTACTGGTTCAGGACATGAGATCGGAGTCGAACTAGTATCAGGATAAGTAATCACAGGTATCGCCGGTGGAGGGTGATCAGGTGCTTTGTGTCGACGGGTGTATACCAAATGTACGGGAGGCCTAAGGTCAGGAACAGTAACTTGTGGAATATTTGTTGAAAGTGTGGACTCAGGAATAGTCATCGTGTAAATGAGTATATCATCATTACTCTCATGAATATCTGCCTTAGATGATGAAAAAGGTGTATTTTCATGAAATGATGCATCAATAGAAACAAGATACCGACCAGTACTCGGACAAAAACATCTATACCCCTTTTGGACTCGAGAATAACCCAAGAAAATACATTTTAATGATTTGGGATCTAACTTTGTAAGATGAGGATTAACATCTCTAACAAAACAAGTGCAACCAAATATTTTAGGTGGGATAGGAAAAAGCTCTTTGTTTGGAAATAGACAATGATAAGGAGCTTTACCATTCAAAACAGAAGATGGCATTCGATTGATCAAAAAACATGCAGTAGACACGGCATCTGCCCAAAACTGTTTCGGCACATTCATTTGGAATAGAAGAGCCCTTGCAGTTTCTAACAGATGTCGGTTCTTTCGTTCTGCAACTCCATTTTGAGGAGGTGTGTCAACGCATGAAGTTTGATGAATAATGCCATGTTGAAGCATAAATGACTTAAATGTAGCAGATAGATATTCTTGGGCATTGTCTCCTCTTAACACCCGAACAGGGACGTTGAATTGAGTTTTAATTTCAGCACAAAAGGAAGAAAAATGAGTGAACAACTCAGATCGACGTTTCATGAAATACAACCATGTCATACGAGAATAGTCATCAACAAAGGTAACAAAATATTTAAAACCAGCTTTAGACACAACCGGACAAGCTCCCCAAACATCAGAGTGAACAAGGTCAAATGGAGCATTTGCTCGTTTATTAACTCGCGGGCTTAAGCTAGTACGATGGTGTTTCGCAAATTGACATGACTCACATTGTAAAGAGGTCATCTTATTAAATTGGGGATTTATTTGCTTCATTAATGGGAGAGATGGATGTCCTAATCGGTAATGAGCATCTAACAAAGTCCCAACCCCAAGACAAGAGATACCTTTTGTGATGGATGTATCCAAAATATAAAGACCAGCTGACTCATGTCCTTTACCAATAATCTGCTTCGTTAACAGATCCTGAAACACACAATATCCAGGAAAAAATGTTACAGAACAATTAAGAGTACGAGTGATCTTACTGATGGAAAGCAGATTAAATGCAAAATTAGGAAGACTCAAAACAGGCGATAATGGTAATGTAGAAGTTGGAACAACAGTACCAGATCCAAGAACGGGTGAGGTAGATCCATCAGCTAAAGTGACACTAGAAGTAGGTAAATATGAATGAAATGACGAGAATAGACTAGGATTACCGGTCATATGATCTGTGGCACCTGAGTCAATGACCCATTTCGAGGATGATGAAACAAGACATGTGTTTGAAATACCTGAATTTGCGGCTACCGAGATAGGGACAAATGAATGCTTTAGAGATTCTTGGTAGCAAATAAATTTGGCATACTCATCTGAAGAAATAGCAACTGATCCATCAGATGAACTAGTAGCGGAAGCGACACGAGCAAGCTGATTTCCTTGATTTTTGAATAGCAATTTTCTACATTCTTTGATCAAGTGTCCGGGCTTCTTGCAGTAATTGCATATTACTGCTCTGTCAAACTTACCCGTACAATACATAATTTACTTTTTTTTTTCTTTTTTTTTTTTCTTTTCTTTTTTTTTTTTTTTAATATATATACATATGAAATATATATATATATATTATGAGGCAGCAAAGAATTTGGGATATTAGGTAAAAAAACTTACAGAAGCTTTTTTCGGTTTGTGGACTAAAAGATTTAAATGCTTCTGGACTTCGAATATAACTAATAAACTCACAGCAGCTTTCCCATTATGGACTCAAAATTAGGAGAACAAAATATCTTATCTTGGGCTTTGGCGTTGACTGCTTCGGACTCCAAACAGAGTAAAAGAAGATGCGCTAGAGCATATGCTAGAGATCCGATGCTAGACCACAGCACGCAAGAATCAGTGAAGAGCGGATGTCCGATGCCAAACCCCAGCGACCAACCACAAGATTTCCTCCCACAGATATCCGTTCCTTTGCTGGAGAAGTAAACGATACCTGATGGTAGCGGATTCTCAGGCGAGTCTGTGGCAAAAATCCCGGTCGAATCTCCGGCCAGAGGGAAGGTGTGTCAGTCGCCGGCAGCTGCGATTACTTCCAGAGGACTGTGGCTGTAGGGCGTCAATTTGGAGCTGCGTAATTTCAATGCCTGGTCGGGGACGGCAGGAATGGTGTTGTCCGAAATTCGCCGGAAAAAAAAAATATGGTCGGACCTGGCAGAGGTTCTGAATTTGAACTAAGGTTCTGAATAGAGGTTCTGGATAATGGCAATGATGCGTAGAGAGGTTCTGTCTGGGTTGAGTTTCTTGTAGACAGAATGGTGCACAGAGGTTCTGAACTGAACTCAAGTTCTTTGAGAAAGAACTGAGTCTGAAAAACAAAATTGAAATCTGAAAAAAAAAAAAAACTAAACTGAAATGGAAGTCTCTGATACCATGTTGAAATATAAACTAGAATAATATTGAAGAGTGGAGGAAAGATTTTCTGTGTATTTCATTGGAGGGATAAGTCCCTATATATATACATTACAAAGATAGAATATTCCTATAAGATGCTATACAATAATAATATCTTAGAGTATATTCCTAAAATATTCTAAAGCATATTCTAAAGATAGAAGAATATTCTAAAGCATATTATACAGCATATTCCAATGTCTTTCACACAGTCTATCAACTATTTTTTTCAAAAATTGGTGATAATCAACTAACACACAAAAAGCTTAAAATGAAGAGTAAAGTGGGGATAAAAGTTAACGGTTAAACCTAGCATAAAGAACAGTCAGGATTTGATCCAAAACAAGAAATAACGGGAAAATAATATAGTATTACCAGCAGCCAGGCGACGCTTGAGGCCTCTTAAAACCGTCAAAATATAAACCTGGAACCATTTCAAAAAACAAATTTCAGTAAAATCTTTAACAGTTTGGTGAACATGCAACTAGTCAAAAGAGAGTGTCATATTAACAAGAACAACATTATTTTGGAATCTAAGGTATACTGACAAAATTTGTGAATTATGGGGTGCTGCTCTACTGCATTACGCCATTTTAAGTTTCTTATTGAACGGGCAGAGAAAAGGGGAGCATTAGCGCACCAATTATGGTGTTGCTGTTTGATCAAGCGGTCACAAGTTCAAGTCTAGGGAGCAGCCGCTTGTCAAAATGACAATGGAAGGTTACCTTTTTTTTACATTTGGTATATGATGACTATTATTCTTTGCCCACTCGTGGTCCTTCCAGCTCGGGTGCCTTGAAGGCAATCTTAAACGCCGGATGTTCAACTGGAAGGACCACTACGAGTGGAAAAAATAATAGTTATGTACTAAATGTAGGAAGAGTCAAAGATATTGACCTAAGTGAGATTGGTATAATACTCGAATGACTAAAAGTGGATTTTTTTTCGACCGAGCATAATGCACCATTCAAAATCGGAGTTTGGGATCGGCTAACATGAATCCACATATAAAATCGGAGTTAAAAAAAGATCAAAGGAGATTAATCCTCCAAATGTATATTCTCCCTCCACATCTGTTTGGCTCCTCTCTCTCCTACTTGTCTCTCCTCCCCACCTCTCAGTTCATCTAAGAGACGCATCACTCAATCTTCTACGCATATGGCCAAACCTAGACTCACGCATCTTATCTTCAATAAGTGTTACTCCCACCTTTTGTCTGATTCTCCCATTTCTCAAGTGATATTTTCTAGTGTATCCACACATACAATGCAACATATGCATCTCAACCACACTCATCTTTTGAGCATGACATTGTTTACCGCCCAACACTCTACGCCATACAATAATGCAGACCTAATTGTTGTCCGATAAAACTTGCTCATCCAATTAGCATAATAACACCTTTTTTATTTTCATACCAGGGTCTAAAAGACACAAGTACACAACTGTTTTAAGTAATATATACTTCTTCTGTCCCGCTAAGGCTTTCCCTTTTTCCCTTTTCGTCCCACTAAGATTGTTCCATACCAAATTTGGTAATGTTTATGTGGTTCTAAATCGTTATTACTTTATTCTTAATTTATCAATTCAATACCAACCACATAAACTAGCTTTTCTTAATAACCGCATTACATCCCCATGTACCAAACTTAAGAGTACGAAGGTAGTAATACACAACAAAACTGTGATACAACCCAGCCCTACTACAAACTCTACACATTTGGGAATCTTTGCACCAAACCTTCTCTTATGCAAACCTTCTCTTATGCAGCAAAATTTGTTCACGTAAAAACTTACCTCAACTGTGTGAATCTGCAAATCCTTCACATTAACAACAATTGGGCTACCCTTAAGACAGGCCAAAGGAATCAATCCAAGTGAAGAAGCTTCCTAAAAGACACATGAAAAAAGTCCAAGTGAAGAAGCTTCATAAAAGACTAACAAGAAAGATAAGTGTGTTGATCTTAATGCCTTAAAAGGCTACAAACCTCGATCAACTGAAATGCACGGGGATCATATTCCCCAAAACCATCAATCAATGAGCATAAGTTTGAACTTTTTGAGTCATCAAAAGTAAATACATGATCCTCAACTAGTCTTGCTTTGAAGCATGCATTACGAGGAAGCTGTAAGCAACCCAAAACTTGTGAAAGCTCCTTCACTGTGGGTGTCAGACCAGCTGCAATTGTTTCTCGGTACATCATCAAGGCTAGTGATGTCCTGTAGATCAATCATCTACAATCAGTGGCTGTATTGGAATATGATACACACACCAAACCCTGGATAGTTTATTTTAGAAGGAAGAAAAGAAATCAATTAGCAGGAACATAATTGAACATAACTCATATTGATTTGCACTTTGATTGATACTGGCTCTAAATATACATGGTAATATACTACTAAAGACTTTCCACGAGAAGGGAAGGCACCACTTCTACAGTTTTACATTCAGAATTATAGCAAGAACTTCTTGCTGGAGGCTGTCTATATGATATCCTTGTTCGTTCACATCCTAATCAATTTCAGTATCCATTAATTTATATTTTTCTCCACTTCTGCTTCTTAACTCCACCAAATTGGTCCGACGTGCTAGTAGAATATGCCATTAACTTGCATGATGAATGTTGTGAACAAGTATTGTTGTATTTCATGTACTTGATGATAAAGTGCTATACAAGAGGTTATATTTATAGCTATATTTAGAGTACTAGGGTTTCCTATACAAGATATACAAATGGGCTAAGCCCAATACTACTAGGGTTTTCACACTCCCCCTCAAGCTGGAGCATATAAATCATATGTACCAAGCTTGTTACAAATATATCCCACTCTAGGACCTCTGAGAGACTTAGTTAAAATATCTGCAAGTTGTTCAGTTGTGTTCACATATTTTGTGATGATATGTCCACTCGTGATCTTCTCTCGGATAAAATGACAATCAACTTCAATATGTTTCGTCCTCTCATGATATACCGGATTTGATGCAATGTGCATTGCAGCTTGATTATCACACATGAGTTGAACCGGTTTTGTGTTTCCATATTTTAACTCTTGGAGGAGATGCTTCAACCATAAGATTTTACATGTAGCAAGGGCCATTGCACGATATTCTGCTTCAGCACTAGATCTGGCAACCACATCCTGTTTCTTACTCTTCCATGAAATTAAGTTTCCACCAATCAAGATGCAATATCCCGATGTGGAACGTCTATCCATCGGACATCCGGCCCAATCTGCATCACAGTATCCCAAAATATCGTGGTGGCCTCGATCTTCAAACAGCAATCCTTGCCCTGGAGTTTTCTTGATGTATCTCAAAACTCTGATAGCTGCATCCCAATGTCCAGTACATGGCTTATCAAGAAACTGACTAAGAACACTTACCGCAAATGAAATATCTGGTCTCGTGATGGTAAGATAATTCAATTTGCCGATGAGTCTTCTATATCTTTCCTTGTTAGGCAAAAGATCTCCCTGTTCTGATAAGAGTTTAACGTTCGGATCCATTGGTGTATCCACTGGCCTGCAATCTAGCAACCCTGTTTCCTCAAGAATATCCAAGGCATACTTTCTTTGTGAGAGAGCAATTCCATTTTCAGACTGTGCGACCTCAATGCCCAGGAAGTATCTTAACTTTCCCAAGTCTTTTGTTTGAAATTTGCTAAAGAGATGTTGCTTGAGGAGCACAATGCCTTGATCATCGCTACCTGTAATGACAATGTCATCAACATACACAACAAGATAAATACATTTGTTGTCAGCAGAATGTCTGTAGAATATAGAATGATCAATAGCACTGCGAATCATGCCAAAGCTGCAGATAACGGCACTAAACCTCCCAAACCATGCACGTGGAGATTGCTTCAAGCCATACAATGAACGACGTAATCTGCACACCATACCAGACTCCCCCTGAGCAACAAATCCAGGTGGTTGCTCCATATAAACTTCCTCATGTAGATCTCTGTGAAGGAAAGCGTTTTTGATATCCAATTGAAACAATGGCCAGTGGCTCATTGCTGCCATGGATAAAATCAAACGAACTGATGCAATCTTCGCTACAGGAGAAAAAGTGACAGTGTAATCCAAACCATATATCTGAGTATACCCTTTCGCCACAAGGCGTGCTTTAAAACGATCAATCTCCCCATCAGGCCCAACTTTAACTGTGTAAATCCACCGACATCCCACCACTGATTTGCCAGCGGGAAGGGGGACTAAGTCCCACGTCCCACTAGAATGAAGAGCCTCCATCTTAGCCAACATAGCTTTACGCCACTCCGGGTGTGCCAGTGCCTCATGTGTGGTTTTAGGAATGGATATATGAGACAGGTGGGAAATAAAAGCATAGTACGGGGTAGAGAGGCGGTGATAACTCAAAAAGTTATATATGGGATGTGGATTCAGTGTAGAACGCGTACCTTTTCGGAGGGCAATGGGCAAATCATCCAGAGTGTTTTCAGGTGGTGCGGTAGTTGATGGTGATGATGCATGAACCGTCATAGGGGAATCAACTGGCGTGGCCACGATAGGCTCAATGGCAGGAGGTCGAGGACGGCGATGGTATACCTGTAATGGAGGAGGGTCTACCACAGGAGGGCAGTGGGGGTGCTCATCAGATGGAGGGGAAAGAACAGTTTCTGTATGGATGGGCCGAAGCTATGAGATGAAGTCCAAACATGATGGAGTATCAGCAGAAGATAATGGGTAATAAAAGGAGGACTCCATAAAAGTGACGTCAGCCGAAATAAAATGCTTCTTAAGGAATGGAGAATAACAACGATAACCCTTTTGGACTCGTGAATATCCAAGAAAAATGCATTTTATTGACCTAGCTGACATTTTAGATAATCCAGGTATAAAATCATGGACAAAACACACACCCAAACACATGAGGTGGTAATGGAAATAACTCACGACTAGGAAACAAGACAGAATAAGGAATTTCATTATCAATAACTGAGGAAGGCATTCTATTTATTAAATAACACGCAGTGAGTACAGCGTCGGCCCAATACTGAGGTGGTGTATGTGAATGTAATAACAGAGTACGGGCAGTATCAACTAAGTGTCTATTCTTGCGTTCAGCTACCCCATTTTGCTAAGGCGTGTGTACACAAGAAGACTGATGAAGCATACCCCGTGATGTCATGAATTCATTAAAGGGTGCCACAAAAAATTCTTTAGCATTATCACTGCGTAAAACTTTGATAGAATGACCAAACTGAGTGTGGATTTCGGCACAAAAAGTCTGAAAAATATGGAATAATTCAAAACGTTCTTTCATTAAAAACAACCACGTGTAACGGGAAAAGTCGTCCACAAAAATAACAAAATAGCGAAATCCTAAAGTAGAAGTGACTCGATACGGACCCCATACATCTGTATGAACTAAATCAAAAGGGGACGCAGCCCGTTTATTAACACGCCTCGGAAAGGATTTACGAGGTTGCTTTCCAAGGTGACATGACTCACAATCTAAAGACGAAAGACTTAAAAACCTGGAACCATACGTCGAAACTTTGAGAGGCTAGGATGACCCAAACAGTTATGTAACGTTAATGCAGGTTCAACGGAGACACAAGCGATTGGATCAACAGGATGAAGATGATACAAGCCTTGAGATTCATGCCCGACGCCAATTGTCTTCCCCGAACGACGGTCCTGCACAGTTACAGAATCAGCAAAAAAGGTTATAGAACAATCAAGAGCACGCGTAATTTTACTAACAGAGACAAGGTTAAAGGGGCTATTAGGAACATATAAGACTGAATGTAATGGTAAGGATGAAAGTGGTAGTGCTTGCCCAATACCCGTGGCCGAAGTTTGATGGCCATTAGCCAAAGTAATTAAAGGAAGGTGTTGGTGTTTGGTAATATGGGATAAAAGATGGGGATTACCAGAAATATGGTCTGAAGCACTTGAGTCAATGATTCATGAGCCTGTGGTGTTTGAAATACAAGCGGTAGACGTACCAGGTGCAGATAAAGGCAAATTAGCAGACTTAAATTTCTGATAGGCGACATATTCGTCTGGAGGTAGAACAACCGGAGATGGCGGAATCTGAGCAACAGTGGCTGAGCTAGGAGGTCTCCCGTGTAACTTCCAACACCTATCTTTAGTATGACCAATCTTATGACAGTAGTCACACTTAGGTCGGCTTCGACGCAGATATCCTTTGTTGTTTCCTCCGTCGGGCCCCACACCTTGTGATGCAAGAATGGTAGAATCAGTAGAACCCAATTTAGCAGATATCGGGGCCGCACGAAGAATTCGAGAAAAAGCGTCTGTCATAGTTGGAAGAGTAGAACTAGAGAGAATTTGTTCACGTATAGATAACAGCTCTGGGCGAAGACCTGCCAAAGCTAAAACCATAACAAGTTGTTGTCGTTGTTCTAGTTGTTTCTCTCTATCTTCCGTGGTAGGTTGAATGGTATTATACTCAAAGAGTAAAGCCTCAGCCCGGCCTAGAAAATCCTGGATGTCCAATTCTTGTTGCTTGAGATTGGCAATTTTGGATCCAAAAGAAAACAGACTTTGAATATCATTAGTGTAATTAGACTTGGCTTTCTCCCAAATCTGTTTACACGTCCGATATGATTGATATGTAAGATGAAGTTTGGAGTCCATGGATTGCCACAAAACATTGCACAACAGTGCATCCATATTCTCCCATTCCGTTTTCTTATCCTTGACTGAATTGGCATATGTAAGCAAGTGATCAATTTGTCCTTGACCTTTGAACCACATCTCCACAGAAATAGCCCATGATTGATAATTAGCACTTCCAACCAAACGATCCGTTGTAATAATAGGAACTGAAGCAAATGAAGAAAAACCAGAAGACATTCTTTTTTTTTTACAAATAAAAAATCAGGGCAGATGAGTAAGGTGACTAATCTGCTCACAAACGTATGGACAGCAGCGGAACAGTGAAATTAAAACGACAGAGATATGGAAGAAATACTACCGTGACCTAAGCAGCTCAACCAGCAGCGGAGCAAGTCTTCTCACGTGGAAGTATGATCGGCGGCTCGTTTCTGGCGGCGAGTCTGGACCGACGGCTCGTTTCTGCCGGCGAGTATGATCGGCGGCGGCGCGTGTGGAAGCGGCGGCGGACCAGACTGACTGGTCTAGGTCGTCAGGGACCTAGGTTTCTGAAAAACCTGTCGGTGTCGCTCGCAGATGACTAAGAAGGAGCAGATCTGCAAAGATGTGTA